TTTTTTTTTTTTTTTTTTGCCTTGCTTCCCACACACAATCAAGTTAAAATAAACGACAAAATTTCCATCATGCAAGTATCGACCCAAAACAAGCTTTGGGCCGCCTGACCTCGAAAAAACGAGTACACCAGAATATCGGAAACAGGCTTCTTCGCTTCTCCATAGCGTGAACTCATATACTCAGTTTTCAACCACGACAGAGTCATCTTCAGAGCCTATCAAATTGCTTACATCCTATTACCTCCTAAAAGTTTTTAACTAACAAAATATTCCTTTTAAAAGCAGTTTTATGCACTAGAATTATTCGTCGCATCATCTGACTTTCCACTGAAAAACCCTAAAATTCATTTTGCTGCTAAGAGTTAATAAATTTCCTTTAAAACTACTTAAAAAATTGCTGCTGGGTCCCAGCTATCACCAGAATGTGCAAAAAAGGCTTGATGAACAAAAGTAGTGTTGTCGACCTTGATTACAACAGAGAGCACCTGAAGGGAGCTAGAGGGTCAAACAATGGTCAAGAAATCTGGTGTGGAATCATCTGCACAATAATGTGATAAAATAGGCTACTGCTACTGTTAACTTCAGAACGAAATAAACAGTAACAATAATTTCCTATAAAGCAACAAAAAACTGGATCAGGTTTACTGTTCTTGCAGGCGATAGCAATATTTGTAGGATCCTGTTGTATAAAAATTAGTGCCGTTTAACTATTCTCTATTAAAAAAAATATTTAAAACCTTTCCAGTCGTTAGACATATGCAAAAAATACCTCCTCATAAATTCGAAAAAAAAAAATTTTTTTTTTCCTTTCAACTCTCCCCTCCAAAGCTGTGTGATACACTAATATCCCACAAAAAACAAAAATTTTACACAAAAAAAAACCATAAAGCGCGATCCAGTAACCACAAAAATGCTAAAAACTTTCTTTTTCTCAAGACGAAAAGGTTCCCAAAATCAAAGTTAATTGCTAGTTTTTGGAAAATTTCGCTTCCCAAACTAATAACCTCTTTAAACACATTTTTAAGACTTTATAAAAGTTGTATGAATATGGAAGTGTTAAG